GCCATTGTATGTGTGACATGTTTGCATTAGAACACAACCAAACAACTGTAGCTAATTGACTCGATGAACTTCCTGAGAGAAGTTACCAGTTCTTGCAGATGAGAAGATTCAAATGGGAGAGTTTCCTGTTTGCCACCTTTTATTCTGAAGTCAGTTGATAGAAAAATCAAAGAAAGCATGGGGAGGTACAGTGCTAAAAATTGGTAACAACTTATTAGGAAGCACCTTAGTGAATGCTGAGAATAAAGTAAATGTTTACAAATATCTTTAATGTGTCAACATTTTCAACAAATCTTCCGAGTTCCTTATATATCCAAGACTTTGAAATGAAGGGAAAACTATCAGCTTATATAATACATGTGTAAATTTTCAAATAGGTTAAAATAGTATCAAAAGTAATTTGAAAAAATATTTGACTATCAATGGTTAAGTATAAGTAGTGATATTCTCTGCCAGGAGACAGTTGGCTATGTCTGGAGACATTTTTGGTTGTGATAAGTAGAGGTGCTCCTCTATCTAGTGAGTAGAGGGCAGAGATGCTGCTATACATACTACAGTACACCCCACTCAAGTATGTAAGGTTTATGCATATAAGTATTCTTAACAGAAATTTTACTTAGTGTAACCTGGCATTAATGTTAGTCAATATGTTCACTTAGCATAATAAATACTTTGACTTACATCTGGATTTATTAGATTAGATGCCAAACTAGCCTCTTTATATCTTGTTAAATATATTAATTGTAACGTATTGCTCTACATACGTTTTTCTACTCAGTGTATGTAAATTTTATTACCATTTTTACCAAACTGTCTCAGGTGGAGAAGTTCATTTTTTCTAGCTTGTAGCTGGGGCTTCCGGTCAAGATGGCAGAATAGACAGTCCCTAGCATCACTCTCTCCAAAAAAATCAACCAATTTACAATGGTTAAAAAGCAATGGCAGCCAAGCTGGAGCCACTAGAGCTCCGGGAAAGAAGCAGAGGGACCTACAGAGTGCACAAAGGCAGGAGAAGCCATGATGAGAGAAAGAAAAAAATGCTCTGACCATTTTGAATCCCAGGTGCTTCCAGGCAGGAGCTGCTGAACACAGGGAGCAGGAGCTGGCAGAAACCACAGCTGTGACCTTCGTATGAAGTTGTTCGAAGGCAACAGGGGAGAAGAGGGCCCTCCCCACATATATGGAATTACTAGGCTGTGGGGTAAGTGCATTGTCACCTTAACAAAGGTTTCCTCAGGTTCTTTCTCACCCAGCCATCTTGCCCTTATGTTTTTTTCCTTGGACAAGAGAAAGGAAATTTGAGACAGGAGCCCAGCCTGGGACATCTGGAAGCTGGCAGGGATGTCCTTCCCTTGGACATAAACTGTCTGGCAGGACATCAGTCTCAGATGAGGTCCCTCTCAGACAAAACCAGGCCACCTCATATTATGTCTCAGCACAGATGGAAACAAGGCCAACCCCCCTCTTGCCTAAAATGTGTCACTACTGGCTCTTCACCAGGTTTCAGTCACTCTACCAGCCTTCCCTGTGGGTAAAATTTATTGAGAGGCCCGATCATGGAATTGTCCCATTTTCTGAGAGCATCAAACCCAGAAAGATTCTCTGCTTAAGTGTTCTTTGAAACTGCCCAACCAGAGCCAAAGCAGTGTAGTCCTTTCTTCTGAACACCCTCTTACTGAGCTTCCTGGTGTGGAAGGTGCATTCTCCTTTGGAGTCACCAGCAACAAGCCTGACTTGCTTGACCACAACTGCATTCCTGGATGGCTGGAGGGGGTATGTAGCAGACTCTACCCTCTTGGTTCCAAATCATTCTCAGAGATTTAGTGAGTGCCAAATGCTAAATCCAGCTTGCCTGTTTCCCCATCTGCAGACCACTGTGTCCAAATACTGGACACGTGCCCTTGGATCTTACTGAATCAGGACATCTCCAAATTTATACTAACCATCCCCCTTGAAGTCTCCCANTCAAATTGAGAAAAGTCAAGAAAATCACAGTAAATACTTGTGGCAAGTTTTAATCACCGACGGCAAAACATCAACTGAGGAGAGAGTTAGATTGGAAAAAACATTTAATTTGAGCTCAAACTTTACTTCAAATCTGATTATAAACAGTGAGAACTCTTCAGAAATTAACACTGAGAAGTTTAATCTATGTCAGTATGCACTTCCTCTTAGAAATCCTGATAAGACGCATGCTGGAGAGACACCTGATGACCAAAATAAAACTGGGAAATCCCACACACATTGTGAGCATCTTAGTCAGAATAATAAGATTCAAGTTGTGCAGCAGCCTTTTGAATATAGTAAACCAGGGAAAGCCTTCAACACAGAGCCAATATTATTGGCACATAAGAAACTTCATTTGGCGGGCTGGCCCGGTGGTGCACTGCGATGGTGCGCCGCTTGGGAAGTGCGGCGGCGCTCCCGCCGAGGGTTCGGATCCCACATGCAGAGGTTCCCGCTCACTGGCTGAGCGAGGCACGGGAGCGGCGCCGAGGGTTGCGATCCCGTTGCCGGTCCTGGTCCGGTGCGGGGGCGACACTGAGGGTTGCGATCCGTTGCCGGACACGGAAAAAGAAAAAAAAAATAAATTAAAAAAAAAAAAAAAGAAGCTTCATTTGGGAGAAACTACCTGTAAATATAATGAATGTGGGAAAGCCTTTTATAACTCAGCTCTCCTTGACCAAGAGATAA